GCGGCAGCGCCCCCGCGGCCGCCGCAGACAAAGGCCCCGGCCCGGCCCGGCCCGGCCCGTTTGGTTCTGGCGCGGCTCGGCCCGGCTCGGCCCTGCCCGTTCCGCCACAGCGGGCCCCGCCGCTGCACCGCGCACAGCCCCGCGGGCAGCCCTGGTGCCGCCCCGGCGTGTCCTGCTGCCAGCCCCATGTYCCCCAGGCCAGCCCCGTGCCCCGCACTGGGCTCCCAGGCTCATCCCAGGGGCCCCCCGCCCAGTCCCAGCCCTGGTGCCCCTCAGCCTGCCCTGAACCCTCCCCAGCCTAGCTCAGTGCCCTCCATGCCCCCCAACCCAGCCGCTGCCCCCAGGTCCCCAGGCCTGCCCCAATGCTGTACCCCGAAGGTGCTGGACCCACGGGGCTCCTCTCTGTCTCTGTCCAGGGCCCGCTGCTCCCAAAGGTCCCGGTTTCCCGAGGTTGCCATGCTGCGGGCACCCATTTTCAGGGCCCAAAGGCAGTTTGGGTCTTTTTTCCCCTGCTTTACATCAGAGCAGCGAGATCCCAGCGGGCTCAGCCGCGTGTCCCGCACGGGGCCATATCCATCGGTGCTCCGTGGGGGCTGAGGGGGTTAACGGTGGCCTCGGCAAAGTGCCGCCAGCTCCTCCGATCCCAGTCCCTGCGGGCTCGGAAATAACTAATTCCTTCCTAGCGCTTCCCCTCCTTCCCCCCCCGCCTTGGCGACGCCTCTTGGCTCCGGGCGCGCTGAGCATCCCCGCTCGCTTGCTCGCGCTTGGCTCTGCATGCTCGGAAGGCGGCGAGCAGGATGGGGCGGGATGGGCCTGGCTGGCGTGGGATGTGGGACCGCGGCGGGGGGCACACACGGGCGGGTTTGCACAGACATGCACGTGTCACCACGGGGATTTATTGCCATTGTAGCTGCTCTCATTGTGGCACCGGGAACGCAGCTCTGCCCTCACTGCTGGAAGGTTTCGCGTTAGGATTGCAGGGATTTCTCCCCCTGGCATCCCAGGACCCCATCCCTGTGGGGTGGCAGGAGGCCAACGGGAGCAGCCGGACCCCGGATGCCCAGCAGAGCCCTCTCGGACCCACTCTTTACACTCCAGCTCCCTGCAGCTCTGCAGCCCTCGGCACGACGYGCGTGGTGCCATTGCCCACTCGGGAGGCGACTCTGCCTTTTCCTTCAGCAAAAGGGCAAGTTGTGGGCAGCCCAACYGCTCCTGCAAACTGCACCCCGCGTTGTGCCCCAAGAGCTCAAGGCTGCCCCGTCCCTGCAGCAGCAGGGAGGGCAGCGCGATGGTCCCTGCATGGGCGCCTGCTCCGGGCGGAGCGCAGCCATCCTGCCGGGGCCAGGCTGGGAAGGCTCCTGGCATCACAAGGACCGCGGCGGCCTCCGGCCCATGCCCCGTGGATGGCGCTGGCCCTGCACTGAGGACACCGCCCCAGCTGCTCCGCRGGCGGCACCAGGACGTGACCGGGACAGGGGTGGCTCCGAACGGGCTCTGTGTCCCTCCCGCCGGCTCCGGCCGCCAGCCCCTGCAGCTGCCACCAGTGCCTCAGTCTCCCCACATGGGAACACAGCGGCTGCACGTTGCAAACGTCCGCATGTCCAGGCCTGGGATAGGGTAATGCTGCTGGAGCCCAGCGCCGAAGGCAGCGGGTTGCCGGCCCCCATCCCACCCGGAGCAGCCTCCGGCAGAGAGGTGGCCAGGGGGATTCGGCGCCCGGCGCTGCCGCCGCGGCCGGGCAGGGTTGGGTGGCCACGTGCCCGGCTGCACCTCCCTGCCCGGGGGAGGACGCGGCTGGTGCTGAGGCCCTGGGCGCCCCCGTGGCCAGCACGGACATGGAGCCCCCGGCACCAGCCTCTTGCAGCCCAGCATCGCACACTGGTCTCCCAACGACAGCTGCTTTTGCAGCCAGAGAGTTAAACGTCTCCCTGTTGCAATCACCTCGTTCCCGTCTGCAGAGCCAGGCGGGATAACTCCGGCACGCATGAGGATTCCCGGCACACGTGTCCCTGTGAGACAGTGGGGGGGGAGGCTCCCAGAGCCCCCAAACCCTCCCCAGTTACAGCCACGTCTAAGGGCCTCGTWGTGTCGAGGGGACACGGGACGGTGGCCTGGCTGCCGCTGCCAGCAGAGTCCCCCAGCCCTGGCAGAGGGCAGGAAAGGGCATGTGCAGGGGCACACAGTGCCCATATCGCCAGGCACCCCCTTGCCCTGCAAGGTGCACAGCAGCCGGGGGGATGGAGGGGCTGGCGCGGGATGCCCCATGTCCTGCCCCCCATCAGCCGGTGTGCGGCACCGAGGGGCCCCAGGGACTGAAAACGGCCCCGGCTCCCTCAGAGCTCCCTCCCTCCTGCCGCCCACGTCCTGCATCTGCTCCCGCACCCAGCCCGGCTCTTCCCTCCCATCCCATCCTCACACCCGCTTAATGGGGCAGAAAAACAATTAGCTTTGAGATCATTAGTTGCACCCGCAGGGTCCAGGCGCTGCCGCGGCCGCTTCCCACCTCCTCACATCCGCCAAATCCAACTGGGATCCCCGTCCATGGAGAGGGCTCGGAGCCCTGCTCAGTGCAGCAGGAGGGAGCGGGGCCGGGGCTCCCCCAGCAGGAGGAGCAGCCGCTTCCCCAAAGCGGTGGAAACCCCGGAGGAAGTGTGTCCCGTCCGGGGAGCTCCAGCTTTGGAAAAGGTGACACACGAACCCTGCTCCAGGCCCGCTCCGTGCCGAGGTCATAGAGTCCCAGGCTAGCGCCGGGGTGGGGGAGCCGGCGTGACTCACCCCGCTTGCGAAATTCCCGTTTTTCCCATTGTTTGGACAAGCCCGTGGCCTGGGACACCTCTGCACGCAGCTGGCCGAGCGGCTGCGCACGCGGGGCTCCCGGCCCGGCGCAAGCCGCGCGTCCCTGCCCGGCGCGTCCCGCGCGCTGCACGGGCCCGGTGCTCGCTGCACGCTCCGTGGACCCTGTCGCCAGCGCACAAGTAGCCCCACACCCAGCCGCACACCCCACTGCACACCCGGGCGCACACMCCACTGCACACCCGGGCRCACACCCCACTGCACACCCGGGCGCACACCCGATTGCACACCCAGCCGCACACCCGGGCGCACACCCCGCCAGCCGGCACACAGCAGGACACTGCCACCCCACACGCCCAACCCCGTGCCCTGGCTCTTCCCCTCGCAACCTGCGCGTGGTCGAGGGCGGCCGCGCGCGGAGCAGCCGGTGTCTCGCCGGGCCGGGCCCAGCTCCCGCCCGCCGCGGTGCCGGGGCTGGCGCGTGGCCACAGCGCTCGGCCCCAGCTGTTGCGCTGCAGCCCCACGCCGACGGGAACCGCACACGGGACCTCGGCAACCGCGCAGGGCCTCCATCTGCACCCCGGGCCTCCCGCTGGCTGTCCCCACGTGCCCGGGAGTGTCACCAGGCCCCCTTCCACCACCCCCTCCCTAAGGAGGCGCCCACCGAGGCCAGGCAGGACGCAGCAAGTATTTATCGGAAGTGGCTCTGGCAGCAGCTCCGCCGCGGCCTCTGCCTCCCCATCGGCTGCAGGGTCCTGAACCACGCGCGAGGCCGCGGCCGGCCTGGCCTGGTCGGAGCCCTGGGGATCTCCCGAGCCCGCCGGGACTCGTGGCGGGAGGGCAGGGGGTCAGGCCAGCCCAGCAGAGGCGGAGGAGCTGGGAGCGCCAATCCCGCTCGGAGCCGGGAAGGAGGCCGCCGCTCCCCGCCGCTCGCTTGCGGGGAGCAGAGCCAAACATCTGCTCCGACCTCCGGGCCGCGCCGAGCGGGAGCAGCTGCTGGGAGGCGGGAGCCAGACCAGCGCCGGAGCAGCYGGGCCCCACGCGGGGACATGGCCGGGAAACGACACTGGCAAACGACCCGGCGAGAGACACCAGGGTGCCAAGGTGCCCGGTTCACCCCACRCGCCGCCCGCCGCGCTCCTACCTCGGCCCCGCTCCCGGCAGCGGCTCTGCGGGCGCACGGCCCCGCGCGCTCCACGCCGGCTCTGACCTACTGCCCTACAAGTCCCGCCGTGCGCCCGGCCCCCGCGCGCGCCCGGCCCGGCCTCGGGGCCCACGGCCCCATCTGCGGCGCCCGGCTCCTGCCCGGTGCATTAGCGGCTGGGGAGACRCGGCCCGGGGCACTGCAGGGTTTCTAGGTCAGCACTGGGGAGGGGGCCGCGCCGGGGTGCCCGCTGCTCCCTGGCTGCTCAGCGGCTGCCCGTAGCAGCTCCCCGGGCTTTGTCCCGCRCCGGGGCTGCGGCTGCGTCGTCCCCAAGGCTCAGGGAAAAGCAGCCCTGGCTGGAGCAGCACGGGCCGCAGCCCTGGGCTGCCCCTTGCTCCCGGGGCTGATGGACATCAAGCAACTCGGCTTGCTCTGCGCTCGGAGCTGCCTCCGCAGGCAAGGACACGCCAAGGGCATCCGCCTGCAGGAGCRGCTCCGAGGGAAGCGAGGGAGAATGGAGCGTTGGAGCCCTTCCCCCCAACAGGCAGCAACACCCCACGACGTGTCCCCTATGGCACGAGGAGGGGACGTGCCCCCTCTCGCCACCAAGCAACGACTGATGCTCCCCAGGTGGGGAGCGCACCAAGCCTGCGCCAGGCACTGCAGCTCTCACACGCGGGGCAGCCCCACAACACACATCCGTGTTTACACTGACCCAATTCCCAGCCCCGTGTTGCTTTGAAAGGAAACGCGAGTGGTGGCTGCTGCACCCGCCCGTTCCCTCTGCCCCTTGGCCAACAGTTGCCCGGAGGCAGGTAGCCCCATGGCTGCATCCCCCTGGGCGCTGAGCGACCTGCCCTCCTGCAGGCACCACCCTTCCCTGCGGAGCCCCGCCAAGGGCAGGGTGCTGGGGAGGCTGGGGGTGAAGGGAACAGCCCACATGGAGCAACTCAAGCCCCTAGACCTGCTATCCAGAGCAGGACACGTCCTGACCCTGCTGAGTGCAGGGACGGAGGCAGATGTGGACCCAGAGGCAGGGACCCTGCCCAGCAGCCCCATGGTGCCACGCAGCAGCAAGCACAGCTTGGGACCCGGCACCCCTGGCGTCCTGCAGCTCCACCCTGCCATCCCTGTCCCACCAGGTGCCAGTAGCTCTCCTGCCTGCAGCCGTGATGTCCCCGCCATGCCCAGGTCACACGGGGCAGCTCAGCTCCCCTGGCATAAACTGGGCGAGCACTTCTGAAGGCAGCAGCGTCGTCCTGGCCTGGATGACACTTTCCGTAAACATTTCTCAGTCCTCTGCTCTGGCAACACCCAAATGCAGCCTGACGCTCCCTGGACAATGGGAAATCCCATGGCCCAGCCCGAGGACTCGCTCACGGGGGTGGCAGCGAGGGACGGAGCAGCTCCAGCCAGCTCAGAGCCACTTGGAGCTCTGAGCACCGGCACTGCCTCGCTGYGGGGTCATCTCCAGCGCAAGCAGCCACCAAGGAAACACCATCTACCCAAGTGTGTTGCTCATGACCTATGTGCTCCTCCATCCACCCCACTTCCCTGAGTGCCCCCTCCACCACTTGGGAGATGGTCAAGCCTCCAGGAAGGCCCGGATCCAGCCCCGAGCTGCGGCGCGGGCCTTACCCCGTGGTGATGTCGTCATCCTCCGTCAGGGTCTTCCCCATCAAGTCACTGTCGCTCATGTAGCCCGACTTGAGCTCCAYGTCGTCGGTGTCCAGCGACTCGACGAGCTCCAGGCGGGAGATGTGGCTCAGCTTGCTGGGGCTGCGCATGGGCATGGTGTGCGAGTAGTGCGCCCGCTCGCCGTGCATGTACCAGCTGGGGGTGCCCTCGGAGCGGCAGCTGCCCCCSACCGACGGCGCGTCGCCGGCCTGCAGGCGCGGGCTGGACTGCCCGTAGCGCCAGGACAGCGGCGACGAGCGGTTCGACAGGCTGGACACGCTGCGCGCGTTGGCTTCGTCGCTGTCGTAGCAGGTCATCTCCAGGGAGCTGGAGCACGGGGCGGGGAGGGGACGTCAGAGCAGCGCCCGGCGGTCCCGTCCCCCCGAAAACAGGGGCTGCGAGTGCTCAAGAAATAAAACTGCCAGGGGGAGATGCCGCCTGTCCTCACCATTCCTATCAGCATCTCCACCACCTTCTGCTCCTGATGTGCAGTGCCCGGGTGTCCCCGAGCGCTTGTGGTGCTAATCCCAGAGGACRCGGTACCGAGCAGCCATGCCAAGAGGCTGTGTGTGAAAGCATCCATAGGGACAAACCAGGGAATGGGATCACCGGGCCGACATGGAACATCCCACCCATCTTAACCGGAGCAGACACCCCGCGAGTGTGACACAGGGCCATCAGCCAAGGGGCTGCGAGGGCAGGAAGCGCAGCAAGAACGGGGCCTTGAGATACTCCCCTCACCCCTCTGGGGGTATTTTGGGCAAAGAACAAGTCAGGGAGTGATGCAAGGCCTAAAATTAGATGCCAAAAACGATTACTTCTTGGAGCAGCTACTCAGGAACCCACAGCCCTTGATTTGGCTCACGTTACTTTCAATGAGCTATTCCCTTGCGGCGACTGCGTTCTGCTCGGATTAACCATTCCTGCAGGAGCACCAAAAGCCAAATCCTGTCTACAGCACTAAGCTGAAAGCGGGGGGGCTGGGAAATGAGGAAGTTTGTTAAAAACAGAACTAAAAGGGACAGCTGAAAGGGTAATGTTTTTGTAGGAAGCACAAAGACTATTTAAAGAYGTTCTAGCAGCAGCTCGGAGCTGATGCAAACCACGTATCCAAACGAGACTTCAGAAAGCTCCAGAGGAAGCTGGTGCAGCTCAGCAGCACAGCAAAGAGGTTGGCCCAAGYGAGGTGACCTAGTGCAAAACCAATCCTGGTCTCTAATGGAGAAACGGGAGAGAGGGGAGACTCCAAGTGTCAGAGGGACCTCAGCCTCCTTTGGCCTCCCTGCAAGATCAAGGCCATAGAGGGTTGCCACTGGGTGAAGGAACACAACAAGGACAGCGGAAAGTTGGAGTAATTTCTAAGAGGAATGAAATGGAATAAAAAATCCTTTCCTAAGCACATGGGTGCAAGAAGCCGTACAGAGAGCCTTGCAGGGACAGCACACAACCAAACCACGGGAGGATGTCCTTGGAATAAAGGTCTAACAGATAAATGAGAAGCCTTTTTTGCTTCTGCATTGACTATGGAAGAGTTCAAGGAGTCTCTGCACTATGGCTCGTCTCTACAAGGCACTCATCGAACCACAGAATCACAGATTGGTTAAGGGTGGAAGGGACCTCTAGAGATGATCTAGTCCAACCTTCCTGCTGCCTTGATTTGCAGAAGTAGTTAGAGAACAGGAACAGGAACAGCTTTGCCAAAGGTAAAGAAGGAAACCATGGACTTCTCACCATGGTCACAACTGTCTCATTCTCATCAAAGTTGAAGAGATACAGAGCAGATCCAGTGGACAATATCCGTATTGGACAAGTTTGCTGAAACTGTCCCAAAGAACAGAATTAGAGGTCACATACACCCTTACAGCATCCTGGGGAGAAGACAACAAGGCTTTGGCCAGGCTCGAGCATAGAATCATTAAGCCTGGAAAAAAACCTTTAAGATCATTGAGTTGAACCATAAGCCCTTCAACTGCATGGTGGCTAAACCATGTCCCCARGTGCSTCATCTACACGTTTCTTGAACACTGCCAGGGACGGCGACTCCCCCACTGCCCTGGGCAGCCTGTCCCAATGTTTCACCCCTCTTCTGTGCAGAAATTCTTCCTAACGTCTAACCTGAACCTTGGCTGGTGCAACTTGAGGCCATTTCCCCTTGTCCTGTCGGCGGCTGTTCTGGAGAAGAGATCAACCCTGYCACACTGCAACCTCCTCTCAGGTAGTTGTAGACAGCGAAACGGTCCCCTTGRGCCTCCTCTTCTCCACACTAAACACTGCAGCTCCCTCAGCAGCTCCTCGTAAGGTCTGTGCTTGGACATGGACAAGGCTCATCCAAGGCTCATCCAGACTACAAGAAGGCACTTGARGAGTTCCTTCATCAGAGGCAAATTAAATCTCCAAATAAATCCAAATAAGAGGAAGGATCTTTGCAGAGGCAAAAGCATCGCCAGATGATTCCCACCATCTATTAGTGGTCAGGTTTCTCTGTGGTTGAAGCCTCAGCTCTGAGACTTATTCACAAGTCATCAGGGAAAGGAGGTGAGAATAAGGAGGCAAAACCCGCCAGCAAATTTAATCGCCATTAATATCCTTGCCCTACTTCCCTAAGATCCGGGCTGACAAAGATTTGCAAAGGAGCTGCCAAGCGGAGCGAGGCGGCGAGAAGGCAGCGGATCAGATTTGACACAGATGAATGCAAAGCAACGCGGAGGAGCCCAGCGCGCCGCGAGCAGCGCCGCGCTGTGAATCAGCTCTGCTGCCAGGATCACGGAGCTGAAGGGATAATTCCCAGATATTGCCAGCTCAGGGAAAATCACTGCAGAAATCCCTGCCTCTCCCGTTCCCTGCATGCTCRGCTCCTTCCAGCTTGGAAAAGATTTGGAAAATGCAGCAAGGACAAGCAGGGGCTAGAAGGGCTTCTGGGCGAGGAAAAGTAGAGTGGGATTCTTCATCTTGGACAAAGCTAATTGAGGGGAGAGGAGGAGGAGGTCYAGAAGCATGAGCAGTGGCTGAAGGGGGTGGAAGCCTCTGCTTATTGCCCCTTCCAGCCCCAAATGGAGAGGCATCAAGAGAAGCCACAAGGTGGCAACAAACACCAGGAGACRGATGCTCACACACTCCTCGGCAGCCTGGGACTGGCCACGCGTGCAGTCTCCCCTGCGCTGCCAAACGCAGCTGCACAAGCACCCGCCGCCCATCGCCAGGGCTGGAAGGGTGCTGGGGATCCCCTCTGTCACCCGCTGCTCCCGTTGCCAGCAGGCTCTGCGCCCTTCAGCCCCAAGGGGTACCAGACCCCTCCATATGGGCGGCCTGGGCATTTGGCCAGCTCTATCTGAGGATGTCCAACATTGCCGATACGTACAGGCAGGGGACCTGAGTCAAACAGATTGAGATGGTGACTAACCTGTGTCCACATCTGTGCAGGCACCAGGGGTACCATCACTGCTGGCTGGACATCCAAACTCAGGCAACAGGCTTCACCCCCAACCCCCTGGCCAGCATCTCCTGCAGCTTCYTGGGTGCCACCACCAACTGCAGGAGACGGGACCCGAGTCCCTCTGGGAGTGCAGGGGCTACTGCCCCTCCATGCACCGTGAGCAGCTGTGAGCTGCTGTGTTGGTGTCAGGCCCAAGGCCACAAGCACCAGCTCCGCCCAAGGCTGGAGACCCTCAGGCTGAGCCYGCCTGTCCCCACCTCGCTCACCTCAACGTCAACACTGGCCCTGGTGGTTCCTCCTGGAACTCAGCTGAGGGGCCCACCCAATGGCCTCTCCTTGGGGGCCTCTCCTCAGCTGGAGGAGCCCTCCTGCCAGAAGGCTCTGGACACCCTCCCCTGCACTCATGCAGTCTGGGACAGAGGGCGCAACCTTTGGTTTTCGGGGGCCCCTGGCAGCCACAAGGCCCTGCTCCACACAGCCTCAWTTGGGGGTGTCTCTCCAAGCAGTGGGGTGCAGGGTCAGGCACAGGGAAGGTGACTCCTTCTCCCAGCTAGAGGGCCCTCACCCGGAGCAGGGCTGCTCCCCTCAGTCCCCCTGGACTCCATCCCTGCCGTGCAATCCTCACCTGTGGGACACCTGGGAGCCCCTCAGGCTGGACATGGTCTCCTCCAGGTTCTGCCGCAGGTCCAGCACGTTCTGAACCGTCCTCTTCCGCTGGGATTCAGGGTCTGTGGAGAGAGAAGGACGAGGCCTTAAAGGCAGCAGCTCCGGCCTCCACATCCCTCCGTCTGCACSCCGTAACCCGGCTTTCCGGTGAGCCCAGCCCCTCCATGGCACAGCCATGCCGGCCACTGCTGGCTCCTGTCCCACATCCTCTCCAAACACAGGGCTCGGAGGGACGGTGCAACCTGACGGGGTTCCCAGGCTTGCAGCTGGGCTTCAAACTAGGAACAACCAAGGAAAAAGAACAGCCCCCAGTCCAGGAGACCCCCCTTGCAGCCCCCCGGCCCCCCAGCACCAGGGACGGGAGCACTGCCACAACGGGGGCCGATGGCTCCCCTGGAAAGGAGGTGTTGGGAAGCAGCCAGCGAGGCGGGCAGGGAGGCCGGGAAGGGGCAGCGGGAGGCACGCGGGGACACTCATTCCCAGAGCCCTCATTCCGCCCYGGGCAGCCACGGTCCTTGCGTGCAGGAATGCCAGGCAGGCTCCGCCGCAGCCTTCGGCATCCCAGACACAGCAAGGCGGCTGGCAAACCTCTCTGAGGAGCATGTGGGACCTCGGAGCAGGGACAGCTATGCTCCCCGGGTGCGGGGCGGCAGGGATGAGCGCCAAGCGCGTGGCAGCCCGGCCACGCGGCGCCAGCGCTGCGGGCAGCACCACAGAGCCTCTCCGCTCCCGTGCGCCGGCCCGGCCAGCGGCAGCGCCCGTGGGAGCCCTGGTCTGGCTCTCACCCAGGCAGAGGTGCCAGCCGGGGTGGCCTTGGATGGGTGCCTTGGCAGGCGGCATCGCGGCGCCGCTGCCAGCATGTCCCGGCACACCGGGGTCCCGCGTCCCCGCCGGATCCACGAGCGAGCCTGGGCGGCGGAGACGTGCACGGAGCCCCGAGGAGATGTGCCAAAGGGAGTAGGTTAAAGTCCATCCTGCAAAAGTCACCCCCAAGCAGCGCTGCTGAAAATGYCCCCACTGCCTCCCCGTCCCGATCCCACTGCATGTGGCCCAGGGGCCGCGCACACCGTGTGCAGGAACAAAGCGCCCAGCACCGGCTGCGGCGCGGCGCCAGCCGGGTTGCTACAGCAACGMGCACGGAGAGAGAGGAGCCGCGCTCCGAGCAGGTGGCATCCCGGCGCTCCGGCCCCTTCCCAGGCGCAGCAGGGCCGGGAGCCGCTGCCGGACGAAACCGGAGCTGTCGGGAGAGGCCCGAGTGTGGGAACGGCCGCGGCGCTGGATTCCTCCTCTCATCGTTTTAGCGAGGCCGCTGCACCAGATGTTCCCAGCTGCTGGAGCGGGGCTGCACAGCAGGGGCTCCCTCCCCACCGWGTCCCCTGTCCTTCCCCACCGTGCCAGGGATGCCTCCCAGCAGAGCAGCCTCAGCGAGGCGAGACGGCGAGGAGGAGGAGGAGGGAGGTGCTGCGAAGGCCCAGGTCTCGCTCAGGCTCAGGCTTGGCCCCTTGCTCCGCACCTCTCCATCCCTCCCGCCCCGTTCACATGCAGGTCCACAAGGACTCCTGGGGAAGACCGGATCGACAAGCAGGAATTTGCCCCGTCAGTGTTATTTCCGTGTTGTTATGGAAATATTCTACGGTCGCCTTAACGAATTGCTCCAAGCAGGGAAATCGTTTTAACTGGTTGCTCCATTCCTTTGAAAAAATCCTAATAAAATCTGCAATGGAAAAGGCAATATCCTGAGGCAACGAACACGCCCCAGCCTGGCCGGGATTGCCYGGCTCTACAAATCCCCAGGCGGATCTGCCGCCTCGTGCCACGCTCCGGTGCCGCAGGGCAATAACCGCGGCTGCATTTCCAAGCCGCAAGCGGCCCCGCTGGCCTCCCCTTGCTCCCCAGGGCTGGCCGTGCTYATTCCAAGTGGCGTTTGAAACGTCCTTCCATCCTTCCATCGATATCCTTCTGTCTGCTGACGCCAGACAGACAGACGGATGGGGCGGGACGTGCCTTCCCCAGGGGATTTGGAGGCACTCGGATGAGCAGGAGTGGGGAGACCTGCAGGGAGGACACTGCCGACAGGCTGACTGTCCCCAATGTCCCCCCTCCTGCTGCCACCGCCCCTGTGAAACCACCCCTGCCATGGGGGACAGCAGAGACCGGGTGGCCAAACGCAGGGGACTCTGGAGAGGCACCGCGGGCCGCTTCGAGGCCGCCGYTCCCGCCGAATCAGCACTTCTGCAGCACTCCAATCCCTTCTCCTAATGAGGACAGGGTTGAGCGAGTGGGAGCCTGAACCCGGCTCAACGAGCCAAGCTTTGAGAAAGGCTTCGGACTTTCTCAGGCCGGCGYGGCCATAAATCCTGGTAATTGGGTCTCTCCCATGCGCGGCTTTCCAAGGAAGGYGCTGGAGCGATCCAGGCCGGGCCTGCAGCCCAGGGCCGCTTTGTCTCCCAGTGGAGGCCGCGCTTGGCCCCAGGGCCCCCACCTGCGTGGCCAAGCGCCGGCCTCCGGCGGGGACAACGGCCTCCGTCYGCTCAATGGCCGGGTCCGAGGCCCGCCGAGCGCCGGGGGAACGTTTGGGAAATTGCCCCCTTGCTCTGGTGCCACCGAGAGGGCACCAGGGGATGCGGGAGCATCAGGGCCAGCGCCAGCACTGCTGCCCCTGCACTGCGGCACGGTGGGAAGAGCTGTCCCTGCGGACCCGGGGGGAACATCCGCCTGGCTGGGAAGGAGGGGAACAGCCCTGGATCCAACGAGGCGGCCCCGGCACCCTGCGAGGAGCCCGGCAAGGCCGACCCCGCCGGGCGCCGTGGCCCCGGCACAGTGAGCTCGCACACCGCGGCACCGAGGTGGACGCGCTGCAAATCCGGAATTCCAGATGGCTCCTTTTTCGAGGGGTGGTGGGTTTTTTTTTTTTTCTTTTCCTGGGTTTTCTTTTTCGCTTTCCCCTGCCTCATCTCCAAGGCAACGGGACTCGCTGCCATCCGCTAGTTGCCATAGCGATTTCACCTGATCCCGCTCTGCCTGCGGAAGAGGGCGGCGGCGGAGCCCGCGCCTGCGCGCCGCCCTCAATGGGGCTTTATGCGGCGGAGGCAATGGGCCGATTCAGCCATCAAAGGGAGGAACTGCGGCTTTTYGGGAGCACAAGGCAGCCCTTCATTTAACCGCTTCGGTGCCCTCCAGCTGTGCCGCGCAGCTGGGCATCGCCGGCCCCGCTCCCGCCRAAGCCGCGGGCATCACGGGTGGCCTCTCCCCGTCCCGAAGCGCCAAGCCCGCAGGCATCCACACGGAGGCACATTCGAGGCCGGGCGACCACGGGCTGGGGCGAGGAGGCTGCAGATGCGCCCAGGCTGCAGCAAGGGAGGCCTCCGAGGCCTCGTGAATTAATTTGGGGGCGTTAAGCAAGACAGGCCCCGCGGAGCGGCTGGCGGGCGGCCACAGAGAGCTCCTGTCCGGAGCCGGGCCCTCGCGCCCACCGGCCACGCGCGCCGCAGCCGCTCAACAGCCCCGTTATTGCAGCCGCCCTCCGGGCGCCTCTCGCAAGCAGGGTCCGAGCCCAGAGCCAGGCCGCGGCACGACCGGCCTCCTCCGCTGGCGGTGATTCCACAGCAGCGCTGGCACCGTTACATGTCCTGTGGTCCGGGTGGGAGAAGCAAAGGGGAACGACCCCCCAGCAGCGCGGGGACCTCCAGGAACCCTCTCCTTGCAGCACCGTCCCGCTGCAGCCACGAGGGTCGCAGGAGCCGGCCGGCCCGGCGGCTCTTGGCACGCGCTGGCTCCTTTGGGATGTTCCCAGAGCCGAGCTCCCCGGCCAGGGCCGGGATGTGGCCGTGCTCAGGAAAGCTTTATGTTCACAGGGACAAACAACTCACATTTGCTTTTTAGCTGTTGGAATTGCACCCAGTGGGACGAGGCGAACAGGGAGCCTTTGTCCTCGCTCCTCGTGACGGCGAGCTCTGTGCCGAGCAGCGCGCTGCAARCACAATTCGCCGCGGCCGGGCTCTGCTAGACGCTTGGCTGGGCCGGCCGCAGCGCAGGAGCCCTCGCGGGTCTCTTGCAGCCATGCAAAATCCCAACGCGCTGCACGGGGCACCAGGACCAGCTCTCGGGAAGCTCCCGGTTTCTCCAGTCGCATCCSAGAGAGTGGGATCCGGAGGCCTCCAGCTCTGGGGAGATGCCAGGCAGGCAGCGAGGGCCGCGGGCAGCTCCGTGTCCGCATCTCCCGCGGGACGGCTGCAGGGAGGGCACATGCTGGTCCCCGACGTGGTCCTACAAGAGCCCCCGACAGCTGAGTCAGGGCTGGAAGCAGCTTTTCCTGGGGCTGGCCTGGCCCTGGGGAACCAGGGAGGCTCAAATTAATTCCAGGCTCGTTGGTGGCTCCATTGTCACCACCTCCGATGGGAGCAAGGGGAGAAGCGGGGCTGGTTTCACTTCCATCTGGGGAACCGTTCCCTTCCAAAGCGTCCTGCCACAATGCTAATTTTTCGGCTGATGATTAATTGATGTCAGGCTCGGCCGGGGGCTGATGGTCCCCCTGCCCCAGGAGCGCCAAGGCCGGGGAGGGGAAGCAGGTCCTGACAGATGCTGCTGGAGCCGTGCAAGCAACGTCCTAGCAGCGGAGGTGGCGAGGGGGAATAAAGGGAATTACCACCACGGAAAGCCCTGGAGCAGGACAAGGAACCCCCGGTCACTCATCAGAGCCTCCCTCTCTCCCCAGTGAGGTCCCAACCTCCTCCATCCAGCTCCCCTTGCCCCAAGGTCACCCAGATTTGCAGACCCCCCCACAACGGCCACTGTGACCCCAATGATTTCATCCTTTCTGCCTGCCAGAGCTTTCCAGCCTCCCCGAGGCCACCGAGAACCTGTTTCTGTGCCGGTGGGGCAGCAACGCGCAGCGCTACCCATCTGTGCTCGGCCCCACCAAATGCTCCACCAGCTCCAGAGCCGGCGCCGTTCGCRCAAACTTATTTTAATTGCTGTGCAGCGCCCGGAGCTCCCCTTGCAGGGCGAGTGACTCAGAGGAATAAATCTCCTATTTAGAGCGTGGCCGCTTTCCCCTCGGGGA